TCAGGGCGATTGTCTCGATCATGAAGAACTGCTCTTTCGATAAGCACATATATGTAGCTACCCAGGACAGTTTCATGAGCACTAACATGCACATTCTGCAATTTGGCAGCACCCGGCAGTCGGTAAGGCATGGACAATGCATTTTCTATCATCGGCAACAAGAATCTAGTAATGACATGATGAGCGAGGATATATAATATATATACACATAATCGATCTCCTTCGAGATTCATTAAAACATACCTAAATCCTCCTTTTTCTACCTTCATTTAAATTGATGCATGTGTACATTTATAATTGCTCATTCATCGCTACCAGGTCGATGATGAATGGTCTACATTATTTGCTTAGCTGACCGATGTTAGACATTTTGCTTGGACAAGTGAAAGTTTCATCATCCTGTTCTTGAAGCATTCGAAGCGTGCATGCTGTTGTGCACATAAAATGGCAATGACTTGAATTGCAACCGCCTGACTATCAATTATTGGACGGTCTCTACAGATAAAGGCCGTGGTGGTATTCATCATCAGCTTGCTTGAACTATGAAATAAAATTGTCTGCTAAATCAATAATCGAATCTATGTTCGAAAAATTCCGTCTTTTCAAGAATTCTGTTGATATGAATGATAACTACTGGCTTTGGTGAACAAGAAACGTCTTTTTGTGACTTTGAAGTTTGAAACGATCTTCCACTTTATATTCCTCCTTCGCAACCGTAAGGAAGGATCGGATTATAAGCGTCAAGTACTTTGAAATTTGACTGATGCATAACAGTCATGCTGAACATCGTATTTTCTGCCATCTGCTTCTCTTTTCTATTCATAATTCTTTGCTGTTTCCACTTTCCCCTTTCCCATCTCATTCGTTTTACTATCTTTCTCCCATTTCATTTTTTTTCAGCTCATGCGTAGCATTTCCTAACGCTTCCTCACCCAGTTTCTCATTTTTATCGTCCTTCTTTTCATTATTTTTCATCCTCCCTCTCCTCCTCCCAATCCTATCATTTAATTTCCTTTTCTCGTGCAACTTCTCTTTTTTTCTTCAAGTTTTGCTTTTCCTCCGTTTCTTCGTCTTCTCCTGAAGGAAATGCAATATTATTCGCCATTTCCTTTTTTCCTTCTCTCATTCTCTTTCCAGTTTATTTTTTCCTTCTGTTTCGTGTTCGCTTCGTTTTAATCTCTTTCCTGTAATAATTTTTCATATCCTTCTTCTCTTTATTGTTTTTCCATCTGTTTCCTTTCCTTAGTCTTGTTTTTAATCGCGTAACTCAAACTTGAATTTTCAATATTAGTAATTTTCCGTAATTTATTTCTGTGAAACACTGTGTTTGCTATTGCTGCTCTTTAGCACATCCTGTTTCGACTTTCTGACATTGATTTCAGTTTTGGAGTGATTAACATTTGACAATTGCCTCAAATTCATCTTTTCCCACTGCTTTAGTCGACGATCATCCTGCTATTATTAGTTCTAAAACTGCTTAAAAACAAGCACTCCTTTCTCTTATTCATTGCTTAATTTTTGTAATCATTGACATACAAATCGTCGCCATAGGTTCCTTAATTCACTATATATAACTGTAAGCTTCCCTG